TTACCATCAGGCCGGCGGCCATCCAGGTGTTCGTTTAACATTTCTAGGATCCAAATTGGTAGCCGATCTGGCCAACGGCTATCGAAAAATCGCATGGCGTGCCCGGCCCACTTGATCTTAGAGGTCTTGGCGAAAACGGCAGGTCCCTGATCTTAGACCGTTGACGTAGTGCGGAACTCCAAATTCTCTCCACTTTCATGTACAGGGTCGCTCCAAGCCAGGGTCAAGCGAGGCGTTGAGGAAAATTTGGAAATACGACCCCTCCTCCCTCCGCCAGAGGCCGAAGTCCATGAAACGACCCTCTTCAAAAGCCGAACTATGGAAGGGTTGTCTAATGTCAAAACTTTGTCAAAACTGTTCATAAAAAAAACCCTGCTATCACTCCGTCAACCGAAAATTCTTTTAAAAAGTACAAAAGTGAAAAGTTAAAAAATTAATCATTATTGATGAGTCCTACCAAACGAGCAAACGAAAAAAGCAGCAGAAAACCTCAAACTACCCACTAAACATGCACACTATGACAAAATCTCTTCTTTATTTATTTCTTTCACAAGACTTACCAAAATTCAGTACTACACAGAGTACGGTTATCAATTTCACGTCCCCTTTCAGTTGAAAGAGGCTTTTTAACCGTCTAAGCCAGCTGCGTGCTGACTGATCTTTGGCGTTGGCAGTGGGGCAGCTTATCTACTATTGAAATTTGAACAAATGTTCAAATGATTATAACTTTCTTCAAATATGACGAAATTTCAATCTAAAAGCAGATTTGAGAGTTTTGTAAAGAGCTCGTTCTAACCAGTATTGAAACCACAAAAATTTATAAGAAATAACAAATTTAGATCGATTAACGAGGAAAATTCATGATGAGCACGAGTTTTTACACTTTCCGGGGCCGTAATTTGCTCCCTTTTCATCATTCCCGGAAAGTTAATATGTCAGACAAAACTAGAAGATTTTCTCTATCAAATGTTTGCTAAAGCAGCTTTATATGTCCACTATTTAAAAAATGGCCACGTTGAGGATTTTTGCAATTAACGAGGAAAATTTGCGATGAGTGCAAGTTTTTACGAATTCTAAGGCCATAACTACGTTCAAACCTATCCAATCTGAAAAGTAAATACGTCATCATAAACTAGAAGATGCTCATTCTAAAGGCAACTAAAACTGCTGAATACGTTCACTATTCGAGAAACGGTCACGTTGAGGATTTTCGCCCGAGTACCGCCGAAAGTCACTTTTTCGCTGCATTAGCACTACTCCAAGGACTATAGCTTCTTTCAGGGGCAATTATACTCTAAAGTAGGAGCAGATTCGAAATCCTCTTTCTTTTCTCTTTCCAAAAAGTGTAAAATTGTTTAGCGTGTCTTAACTTTAACGATTAAATGCTTGTGAATTTGACGCTGAAGGCTGCATTTCTTGCTCAATAGTGTACTCCCCCATGTAATCTCACACAGCCCCTTTCAGGATCCTCTTAATTTTTCTCTGAATTGAGAGGTTTTCTCTCAAGAGCGGTAGTTAGCGCGCGCAACTAACTGGGCCCACTCTGCTTTGCGCCGTGTGCTTCACATCCCTTGAGATTCGAGGACTCACTTGAAAGATAAAATATCCGTTGGAAAACGTGCGAATTTTGAATTTTTTGACTTGTTGGTGATAGTTTAAAGATAAAACTCCGAGGTAGTAAAAAATCACTACGCGCACACCTCTAAATCACGAAAATTTTATGTGGGCGGAACAGCATTGGGCATCGACTCGATCCCTGATGTTTGTCCTCCGACAGTGGTGCATCAATCCGGCCTGATCCCTTCTTCCCATTGGCCAATACGACCCCCCCCCCTGCGACGTGTCGAGGATTCCTCAACGCACACTTGACCCTGTTCCAAGCATCGCTCCTCAACAGCGCGTCGAACAACACTGATCGCATGCTCGCCGCGTGCGCAGAGCTCAACTCTCTGAGGCGTAGGTCAAAATAGAAAGGACTGCAGAATCGATGAGGTGGGCACGATTCTTCAGTCCTTTTCACTACTCCCTCGATGTTCTTGAACGCGCCCCATGTCGCTCGCTTCCTCTGCTCTGGAACTGAATCGTTCATCATGTTGATTTCCCGATCTAGGTACACGTAACTGGAGCATTCGGAGATGTTCGATGCGTTGAGCGTGAATGGACCCTGCGAGGTGACCGATTTTGTGAGCGGTTTCTACACCATGAGCTTTCTTATCGCTTCATTTGCAATGGGACATACCTACACTCGAAATCCGAGAGTTGAGGTAGGCGTGTCACCGGAAGAGACGTGCATTTGATAGAAGTTGAGTGTATAAGCTGTTACCGGCATGCTTTGCTGATATCCAGCGATGTATGTTGGAATCAGCTTATACACGTAGCTTCTATCAAGTGCAAGTCACCGCCGGTGACACGCCCAGTTTTCGGAAATCGACTGTATATACCCTTCCCTTCAAAAAGCAAGAAAATGTCGGGTGCAGACCATGTACAACAAGTGACGACGGCCTTCACAAAATGTTAATGTCTTCTGCGAGTGAAATGACTAGCCTGCTGCACTTGTATTCTATCGATTGTAACTAATTACATCTATCATTTACCAAAAATCTATCACTATGAATAACTTCTAACCAGATTTACTTGGAGGTCGTCGTGGGTTGTGGTGTATGTTCTGAACCCGACACTTTTTCGCTTTTTGAAGTGGCGGTTAGCATCACTTCACTATATAAGCCAGAACTTTGGTATGCCGGTTTGTCGGTGTGTGTGTCGTTCTGTCCGTCCGGACCAACCGCTCACGAAAGCAGGGAGTACGAAGGGCAACACTTTGAGATGTTGATGTCATGATCACGATAGCACCTACAGCTGCTATAAACACCGATCGAGCACACTCAGTCACCCTCTACATGGTGCTGCCGTGGCAGTCGATTGAGCTGGGGTGCGGGAGGGTAGAGGGAGGGGGGGTAGGGAAAAGGGATAGAGGCAAGAAAGGGGAGGCTGGAAGGGAGGGGGAGAGAGAATGAGGAGGGAAGGGGAAAAAGAGAGAGGGAGGGAGAGCATGGCGCTGTCATGCGCCGGAGAGAACGGTATAAGGAGGGGGGAGGTGCGAGGAGAGACTGAGAGAGAACGACCGTTTTTAGGAGCAAGGTCTATATTCATATTGTTGAGGTATTATTCTAATCTGGTGTGGTGATTGTGATAACCCCACAATGACTACAACAACACCAAACGAGCATCAGGCTCATTCTACATGGTCGGGGCAGCCGAAGTCAGCGGGTGGAAGAGGGGAGGGGTAAAGCAGAAGGGGAGGTGGGAGATAGGTAGGGAAATGGGGGGGAGAGGAGAAAGGGAGGGAGAACATGGTGCTGCCATGCGCCGGAGAGGAGTAGAAGGAGGTATAACACATTCAATAGTGAGGTGGTTAATGGAGTACGTCATGCTGCGATTCCGCGGCTTCTCACTACAATGTGATGTGCGCAATCGCGGGCGGAGCAAACCTGGTACATACATAGCGGATAAAAGATAAAGCATTTGCCGTTGATCATCACCTTTTTGGGATGCAGCACGCATTCTACTTCCATTTGTACATTCGAAGTGGCGTTTGAATGCGAGGGCCAGCCGATGTACAAGTCAGTGTTTTCATCCTGCCAGATAAGTCTGTTATCAATAAACCTAGTATAGAAGGTCCCATTTGTGAAGCGGGAATCGTATTCGGGGCCGGGATGACCCTCACCTGCAACAGCAGCCTATGATAAGCCCGTTGGAAACTGTTGAAATCAAGACAATGGGTGATCTACTTCGCTTCTGACCATATAAAGTTGTGTGCACAAACTTTCGTAACTCTTCAAAAAATCGAGGGGTACTTCAGAGTGGCAGAATTGAGATCAGTGCACACAATCACACATTAAAGTACCAGTTCTGCTCCGCCTGCTATCGCGCGCATCCCATGCCAGGCTCAGCGGAACTGGAGGACCCATGGAATATCAGCGAGGTGCTCCATTACCCACCTCACTATTGAATGTGTTGAAACTTTCTCAGTTTCGCTGAAGTCCATCGAGAATGCGCGCGATAAGGTCTGGAGCTGAACTGGCATATTTATCTCACAACTGTAAACATATACCATTCTTCTTGAATTCGGATAATTTAGCGGTGAGTCTTTTGCTGTCAGTCTCAAAAGGAGAATGAAATTTGACTACTTACATAAGTGAGTAGCTAATGGTTATCACTTATTCACATTCACCATTATTTAGAACCCTGAAAGGATTTGCGGTTCAATAAGTTCGGGCTTTCTTGATATTGCATTAGAAATGGAACTTTCTTCAGTAAATGATGACTTGTTTGAGTTTATGCAATCGACTAATAAGTAAGCTGGTCATATCGATACAATGTGCACGTACTAATAGAATTTGTATGGAGGCAGGCTCTACTGTCAACGCGAGCTACGTAACGAAATTTACGACTTTTGCGTTCTGACGCGTCTAATCAGTCTTTATTAGTTGTAACCGCTTTCTATCACCTACCAACAATGTCCCAGTCCCACCCTTCATAACACTTGTGGGTGTGGATGCTCCGGTGTCAACGTGAGCTGGGTAACGGAGTTGACGACTTTTGCGTTCTGACGCGCCTTATCAGCCCGTATCAGTTGCTATTTCAATCATGTACCACCAATGTCCTGGGACCAACCCACATAACTTTTGCAAGTATAGACGCTCTAGTACTAATATGAAGACAAAACGAAATCGGTGATGCTCGATTTCTAGCCCCCTTATCAGCTATTATCAGTCGTTATCAGTTCCTATCACCACTTGTGCCCCATCCAACCCCCTATAACCTATGTAAGAACCATAACGCTATCATTACTGTGACTCGAGCTATGGATTTCCGGTCAAACATACACACAAACACACACACACATACAACACAGACACACCACCGGACACACTTAGCCGCTCATATATAAAGGATATGCCTCATTCCATACAGCTACTTCGACGTGTGTCCGTTCCTGGTTAGCCCTGTAACGAAGAAAACGAAAAAAAAAACTGAGTGGAAATGAATTTAGTGTAGACTTCGAAGAAATAGTGGAGAAAACAAGCTGCGGCGAAGATCGCGTAAAAGTTCTTGAGGAAGCAGTTTCCTTTGCGAATTTGCGTAGCGCAGCGTGCACAAGACACCCACTGTGCTTCCTTTAGGCCTTGAAGTCACATTCATGTTTTACCTTTTTCAAAAGCCAAAATTCGCTTATTTGAGGTGAAACAGTGGCACTCAAAAAGTCGCGCTGGTCCCACGCTAACAAAAATGCGAAACCACGCTATCGTGAATGGGTTGAAGAAGATATGAGATTCAAAAGCGTTCTCTTCTCGGAACAATGTCATTTCGTATCGCAGAGTTTCACGAGCCAAATGTTTACAGGTCATCTCTGAAAGTTGCATTTCGTCTTGATTAGTTTCTTTTTTTTTACACAACACCTCCCGAAAATCTTACGCCACATGTCAAAAAAGGTTTCGCTACACTGTTTTTCGCTCAACCCAACCCATCTTTCTACGGTCGACGGACTGCCTGAACTCGGACATTTGAACCGCTTCAATTTGGACCAAGAAATCAAGGTAGAGGTGGTACGAAGAAAAACTGCGCGCTAGTCGTGCCTCAGAGTTGACCTCATCAACGCTAATGCTTCCTCTTCCAGGCGGCGAAGCCCGACGGAGAGGGGTGGGCGGGCAGTGGCGATAACGCGAGGGATGGCAATGCTATTCGCCGTGGGCGCATTCTTTGCTGCAAACTGCGTGCCGATCCGCAGCCTTAGGCGGTCCGCCTCTCTTTCCGCTAAGTGGGTTTGAACTTGTTAAACCTCTAACCTTTCCCTGGAATCCTCATTTAGAGGAAGTGGCCGAGGTGCATTCGAGGTGGAGCCGCATACTACACGATATCAACCGAAGGACTCTGGAAAGCAGTGCTGGACAAGTATACACGAGAGATACGATACGATAAGATTAGAAGAAACGGTTTTTATAATGGGTGCATTCCAGAATGAAAATCGGACACCTCGCTGCTTCTTCCACTTTTGCGTAAGTGGTGCTGCATCCCGGAACTGGGTTCCAGCGTCGTATCATGCCGCTGATAAGGTGCCTCTACCCATGAAGCATCAACTGTTGGCTGATTGGAAGGACTCCTACATAGTCCACTGTGTGAGTTCCCATTCGTACCCACGAAAAACATCGCGACCACTTCCTTCAAACTGCAGTTATAAGCAAGGCAAGTAGAGCCCCACCCTTTGACTTTAGACCAAGCAAATAAAGTGTCGCTGAAGGCACGGATTGCATGCTGTCAGGCTTCTTCTTTCATGGTTACCGTATTACGTCCACCTCACACTAAGCGTGACACTTTCTTAGTGTTCTGCTGGAATCTAACAGCCTAAGTGCTCCTTGCAGCTATCTTATCTGTTTAATGCTACACACAAGACCAATATTAAGTATGTATCGAGTGGCAAAGTTCATTTTGTTCTCCTATTGTCCTTGCGCGTATCGCTCATTTCGCTACTTCACTTGTTTCATCGCTTGCTGCTGGAAAAGGTTTGCGGTCAAGTCTCTTTCGCTTGTGCTACAACTCCCCCCTCTTCATGTCAACGAAGATCCTTGTCCTATTTGCGAATCTCACGGATCTGTTAGCGAACCGCGAGATACGGGCGATGCGTCATTGGTTTGAACGATTTACCAACAACGCAGGCCAATGATGGCATGAGGGAGCGAGAGGACATGGGAGAATAAGGAAGTGACGGGAGCGATTTAGTAGTGGTTGAAAGTGGGGAGAACGTCCGAAAGGGCCTCCCGCCACTTTCAACCAAGGCATCATGTCCTTAGAGAGGACATTCAAAACAGGGCACTCAAAAAGCGCAAGTAGGTGACACTAGAACTAAGTGAGGATTGGGAATAAACACCTGGGAGAACAGTGGTTGCTCACATGCTTCCCAGAATCCTTTCCCCTTCCTAAGGTTTAGTCCCAAGTTCTATGAGTGGCGCACTCACTTCAATCCTTCCTTTAGTAAGGTTACGATCTGCAATAACTTTCCGCCTGAAGGATGTCTGTACCATTGCTCCGGTTCAATTGAGTCCCCAATCCACAGAGCGCGCTCCAGCGCCTAAGGGATTACGGTGGAACTAAATCTCCATGCTAAGTAATCGGTTCTGTGCATGGAATAGTTTGAAAATAGCCTACGTGCAACTCTTTTGAAATATATGCAGTTATTGAAACCCTAAGCAGCTATTTTTCGTATTGCTTTTTTCACCTCTACAGCCATTAGGCTTCCGCCATCATTGACTTGGGAGGGCTTTGCCGCTTTCCGGGAGAGCTGGAACAATTTGATTTTATGAAAAGTCTCAACTGAAGGTCAACGGTCAATTTGTTGACAACATCCTTCGTGAGTCGCCCGGGCCAACCAAGCCTTCCATCCCTTCGGTTAGTTGGTACCAGACTTGTCTGGGAGGATAAAGAACACTGACTTGAACATCGGCTGGCCCCGCAAGTCATTGTATAGGCCACATCGCATTCAAATGCCACTGCGAATGTACAAATGGAAGTAGAATGCGTGCCGCATCCCAAAACGGGATTGATCAACGGCAAATGCTTTATCCTTTATCCTTGTAACCGGAGATTAGTCCCCCGTCAACCGGCCGGACCTTCCTTTCCTGCGCAAGCTTTCTATCCTCCGCTATGGTCCCTTCCTCTGTGACACCACAACCTCGTGAAGTGACGCGTATGCACACAATGGTGTTTCAAACAGTAGAAGGACACAATCATGATATGACGGTAGATTTTTCGCTTCCCTCCCTCATCCTCCCTTCCTCTCTCCACTGCCCTCCAGCTGCCACTGCAGCAACATGTGGAATGAACGGAAGTGGTGCTAAGCAGGTGTTTATATAGCCCTGAGAGTGTATAACAACTATCTACAAACATGAATATCTCAAATCCTGTAAGCTACCCGATTTGTTAGCGGTTTGTTTATCCTTGAGCTTCCTTCTCACTCACTTCATTTTGCGGACGGACACACTACATACACACTCACACCACACACACACTACAACACACATACGATACACAAACCGACACACAAAGTAGCGCTTTTATAATATAGTAGGATTATCCTTAGCGTATTACCCTATTCGAGCTATGAACGATTGTCACCTATCCTCCAACTCTTAAATCATCATATTGATGACGAAATAATTAGAAGAACAACTCCAACTCGAAAGTGAGGTCGCCTCCTTTCTCGACCCACACACCGCTGGGTTTTGGCAAAGGAGCATCAAGAAATTTTTTGAGCGTTGAAGACAAGCAGAGTACATTTTTGGTAGATACAAGACCGGTAAGGAGTAAACAAAAAAGATAAAGTTGAAAACAAAAAGTTTGGAAAAGTGCAGGACTTTCTTTCCAACCTAATACGTTCCTAATATTATCGAATTTATTAATCGTTTAGCCTGCGAGCTATACATGAAGAAACGATAGGTTTGAAAACCGTCCAGGAACAGTGTGAAAGCAGCAAAATAGAGGAGAACGAGTCTTTTTCACATACCGCTTACGCTCCTTCCCGAGGTTGCAAAGTGCAAAGCAGGTCCCGAGGTTACAATTAGCAAATACTCCATTGCGATCGAGTGAGCAATTCACGAGTTTTCCAATGCAGGCAATTGATTGATTGAGCCGGAATGTCAAGGCACATGAATAATCGTATGCCAGAATGGGAAGGTTTGTTAGAGGAATTTTTCTCGGAGAAATCAGGGTTCTAGCTAACCCATGAATTACTGGCTTGAGACCTATCGTTCACGATAGTAACGAAGAGAACAAAAGAATGCGTTACTTTTTTGAACAACTCGAAAACCGGAAGGAGTGCTATGCTCAAATTCCCGCCGTACATCTGTCACAAACTGGCGGCGGAAACGCTTCTTCTCAGAATGCCGTCACTAGGATCTCTTTTTGACTTTTTGACTTATTGCACTAACTTTTCACACTTCTACTGCTTTATATCCTATCGATCGTTTTACCTCTGCTCTCAAAAATCAAACGCTTCAATTGGATTTCAAAGTTTCGCCTGGTACATAGCCGCCCGAATGCGCGCTTCTTTCCATGTGCTTTGGCTTCGCGCGATTCCATAGTGTGTAGTTTTCCTACGTTTATTTCTCGTCGGAAACTGCGTGTGTGAAACCTTGTGTGTTGCATCTAGTTGTTACAACTGACATACATATTCACCTTGGGAAAGAATGCAAGAAGTTTCCGAGGATTCCCTCGTGCCCAGTACCACCTAGACCGTTACACCTGCGCTTTTGTGACTTCCACTCAATACAAGCCGTTGTTACAGAAGTTATCTCAGGACCAAGAAAACAGAATCGAAAGGTTAGATTTCCCCACCACTGTTCAGCACAAGCAGATCGTGAGGTCATTTCCGTTTAAGGTGGATGACTCATAGTATAAGCAGGCTCGCAGAGGAATGAATATACACTCCATTGGTTCTTGCTGGGGGGCATCGACAGACAGCAGATGCTACAGAAAATCCGCCAATGGATAACCGACCTCTATGAGCCAGCCGCTGAGCAGAGTGTTTTGCGTGCCAGGAAAAGTAATCTTACAGGGAGTACTATCGAAGAACGCCTCGAAGTACGGTATTCTTAATGCGCTGACTGCTTTTCTATCTACAGAACCTCTATATTTGCTTTGGATCTACGAGGCGGAGCTTCGCCAGCCAACCTTGAATAGCAATTCATCACTCTAGAAGAAACACTCAAACTATTGGAATTGATGTGCCAGTTTAGCTTTGCACGCTACCGTGCGCATGATACGATGGCTTGAATGAAACTGCTCACAAGGGAAGGATACCAGGTCGAAGTGGTGGTACAAGATATACACCACTAGATACATTTCTGGACGCTGATCTCGAACCTGCCTTGCAAATGCGAAACGATTCTCTGAACGTAGTTATGAAGCGAGATAGTGCAGTGGCAGCGGCCCTAGCCGACGGTAGGAGTTCGCGAGATCGGCTTCTTTGCGATTTCTTATGTTTGCTTTCGTTAAGACATTGCCAAATATGCTCTTATCCATGCTAAGAAATCAGCGATTGCCTATATTACAAGTGGGAATAACAAGCGAGGAGGATCTAACTTTGTGCATGCCATTCGCAAAAGACCGCCCCTGGTACTCCTAGTGCACGCGTCAAGCGCTTTCGTGCCAAACGGGGGAAAATTCGTGTTTAGCGCGTAAAATACCCCTCTCCACAACTTTTGGTATTAATTTGAAAATTTGACCCAACCTCGAAAATGTGGACATTTACCGTTGGTCTCCTGCAAATGGCACGCACACTTATCGGAACTCCTCGCTAGCTCCTCACATTTGTAATATAGGCAAGTGCTGATGAATTGACATAGATGACAATCCCCTTAACAACGTCTTTAGAAAAGCAAAAGTCAAAACTCGCCGAAAAGTCGATCTCCCGACTTCTTTCTCTTCGGTCTGGGCCGCTGCCACTTCACATCCTCGCTTCATGACTGCGTTCAGAGAATCGTTTCGCAGATTTGGAGGGCCGATTTGAGATCAGCGTCCAAAAACACATTTAGTATTGTATTTCTCGTTACAACGGGCCACTTCGACCTGGTATCCTTCCCTTGTCAGAAAATAAAAGGAATTATCCAATACCATTTTGCAATTTATGTGAAGGGCGTAATCTTACCTACTTATTTACTTTGATAGTCCTTCAGCTGGCGATCTTCTCAGCGGGGACCACAGCTCTTCCATGCTTCCCGGTGTCTGACAACTTGCATCCAGTGTAGACCGCGTTGTCTGTAATGCTTTGAAAACGAGTGGGCCCACCAGGTTTGCGGTCTTCCTAGCGGTCTTGTTTTGTTTCTTGGGAGCCATTCAGTGACTCGGAGGCTCTATCAGTCCTGGTATCTGCGAAGTAGATGACCAGCCCAACGATGTTTCGATTGTGCCACGTACTGCAGGGGATCTTTCAGGTGTGATCTTTCCCTCAATTCTGAACTTCCTAGGCTCTGTCTCCATTGCTGATGTCGACTAAATTTCAGGAAACTTCTTTCTAGCCCACGATGTATTGTTTGCATGGCGTCGGCTGTCGTCTTATTCTCAAGCCATGTTTCAGTGGCATAACACACTGTTGGTAACACTGAAGCATTAAATATAGAGCCTTGAGGTCGGGATCCTCCATTCGGTCTATTAATTCTCGGATCGTTTCAAAGGCTGCCCATGCAGCGCGCCTCCTTTGGTTTATTTCAGGAGTAATATTTTCGTCATGTTCAGCTCTCTTCCCAGCTACACATAGGTTTCTACTCTCTCTAGAGCCTCTCCCGCCAATTTTATTGTACCTGTAACACACCACTGATTCACCATCATTTGCGTTTTTGACATGTTCATTTCCAAGCCGATCTTCAAGCCTTCCATATTGAGTTCGTTAACCATTTTTTCCGTTTCGATTGTGTTGTTAGATATCAATACGATATCATCAGCGGAACGGAACGGAAGCGAATAAATTCCATGTTCGGTTTCATTTGAACCCTATGCATTTCAGATATTGTGATGTTTTCTTCTGTGCCATACATGTTGTTATGGTGGAACACGCTTATTGGTCAACGTTTCGACAATTCGTCGTCTTCAGGACCTGAAACTGGTTCGAAGTTGTAGCTCTTTAGCTCACCCGGTCAAGCGCTTAGTCTTACTATAGTGCAAAATAAAGGATCCCAGCGAACGAACTAACTTGTGGTGAGACCACCAGGTCTCTTGTTGGTGAGCAAATTAAATGAGACACCACTGGACAGTAAGCGTCCTACGTGTCGTATGTGGTGATCCTACAGTCCACACTCATAAAGTAATGAAAGGCAAGGACTCATTGGTAATGGCCATGCATTCATTCCGGTTGTTCAGTCTTGGATTTTTCACGCGGATATGAAACGCCTCTAACATTTTTATAGCGCCAATGTCGTTTTGGTAGGCTAGAATTTTGCATTTGATTTCATAATCATAACCGTGATGCGCTTTCACTCGGTGCTTGCCGTGGAGTAAGCAGATTCCCGCACCTTTTTCCTGTTGTATGTTCTTTAATGCGCACGCCTTGCATCCTGCCTGTCTCACCAATATAAAGTTTGTCACAGGTTGAACATTGAAGTTGGTATACTATCACTCGTTGCGCACAGTCTCCTTGCCTTCCATGCGGGCAAACGACACAGTTATTCGTGGTGCACGCGCGGTCATAGAGTCTGTTGAGGATTAGCTGACGTTTGAGATTGTCTTCTGGTATATTAATCAACCAGATTTGCTCCGCCCGCCATCCCACGCATCACAGGGTAGGAAGGTTAATGGAAAAGCGGCATGACGTATTCCATTAACCACCTCACTATTAAATGTGTTAAATCACCTTATACCTCTTCTCTCCGGCGCATAGCAGCAACATTTTCTCCCACCCTTTCCCTCTCCCCCTCCGCTTCTGCTTTCCCCCTCCCCTCTACCGCTCGCCGACTACGGCTGTCTGTCCCGGCATCACCATATAGAATGAGGCTGAATGTGCTCGATCGGTGTTTTTGTAGTCATTGTGGGTGTTATCACAATCAACACATCAGATTAGAATAATATCTCAACAAAATATAGACCCTGCTCTTAAAAACGTCGTTTTCTCTCAGTCTCTCCTCCCCCACCTCCCCCTTCATATACACTCCTCTCCGGCCCCTGGGAGGCACCATGTGTTCCCTCCCTTTCTGCTCTCCCCCTCACTCCTTTTCTCCTCCTTTCCCCTCTCTTCCTCCTTCCCTCTACCCATCTTACCCCTACCCCCCTTCTATCCTCCCCCCCCCATCCGGCTGCCACGGCAGCACCATGTAGAATGAGTGTGCACTTATGTAGCCGCTGTGGGTGTTATCAGAATAACGACATCAACATCTCGAAGGTTGCCCTTCGTACTCCCTGATTCTGCGAACGGTTGGTCCGGACGGACAGAACGGCACACACACCAACAAACCGTCCACACCAAAGTTCTGGTTTATATAGTGAGGTGATACGACGTCATCACCTTGATCCGCCCGTGCAATGCTCTGCCGTATAGCCATGCTAATTCTATCCGATATCAAAGGCAATTGGAGGTGCGCCATCTCTTCACGACTTCTCGTGGAACGCCCTCGTGAACCATCGCGACTTCTCGCAAAAAGCCCTCGTGAAGCTTCGCGACTTCTCGCAGGAAGCCCTTGTGAATCGCCGTGAGTTCTCGCGATTTTTCGCGGGTTTTCTCAGTGGGCCTGATTCTTCGTTCCTCGTTCCATAACCATTCGCTCTTGCAATCTCGTAAGCTAGCCTAAGTTTATTTTGCACTATTTCGCCTTTCCGGGAACTTGGTAAGATTAGGCGCTTTACCGGGTGAGCTAAAGAGCTAGGAAGTCGAACCAGTTTCAGGTCCTGAAGACTACGAATTGACGAAACGTTGAACAATAAACGTGTTCCACCATAACAACATGTATGGCACAGAAGAAAACATCACGTTATTCATTCCTTCCCCATTGATGAGATATCCTTTGTCTTCTCAATCAAAGTTTGAAATCGCCTACTGTAATGCAGCCATGAATAACTTTGGTGATATTGTATCATCTTGCCGTACTCCTTTCTGAATTGGAATCTTTATCTTTCGATCCAATAGCTGGATAGTTGTTGTTGTATTTGAGAAGCATTGTTCGAGCAGTTGGATGTAGGCAGGGGAGCTCCGGCCTGTATGATGGCATTCAGAACAGCGTTGACCTCCACAGAATCGAATGCTTCTTTAAAGCAAAGAGACAAGGCCTAATGGAGGGTGATATTCGTGGCTCCTCTCAATAAGCCGGGACCGAGTGTACGTCATCCATGCATGAGAAGTGTTTTCTGAACCCTGTCTGATTCGTCCAAGATGCGTTCCATGCGATTAAGCAGTATTTTGGGAACGATTTGTATACCACCGCGAGAAGGCTGAAAGGTCTGTAAATGGCGATATCTTCTCGCTGGCCTTTCTTAAACAGTAGAACGGTTCTCGATCCGTTCCATTCCGGAATTTCTCTTAGCATGAGGTAGTGGTTGAAGTGTCTAGGAGGAGAGCATAGACAGCTGTATTCCCAGCACGTAGCAAATCTGCAGAGATTTTGTCAGGCCCTGGGGCAGTTCCTTTTCTCATACTTCGTATCGCTTTCGCGAGTTCTGATTCCACAATAGTAGGAGGGTTTTCAGAAGACGCTATCGGGCCTCGCAGGACAGTGGTGGTCAAACGAAAGAGGTCTGCGTAGAAATTGCTAACAGTATCCTCCATACCTCTTCTTGACGTGTGTATTTGCTTTTCTTTGTCATTGAGTGCGGCCATAACGGCCTTTTGATCATTTAGATCTCGTTTGTAAGGTTTAATGCTAGATTTTCTTTCTGCAGCTTCTAATAACTTAGTTCTTAGCCATTCAGTTCCCAGCGTCATCTTACGCTCCATAATTTATATAGTATCGCGGAAGCCTGTCCTGCGATGAGCATAGCTGCGAGAAGCTTGATTGGTACTTATTCAACTCGAAATCAAGGGGTTCAGTAGTTCAATAGTTATCGCTTACCTCGGTTGTAGATTGAAAATGAAAAGGAGCTTATTCTCTGTGCACATGCATATCGGATCTCATACTCAATTCTTGTTTTTATATGACTCAAGATCACACAGAATCTAATAACACTATCCAGCGTGCGTCCTTCATCTTGATAATTCACGAGAACGATGAGAAGAGTAACGAATATCCAGGCACGACTTATCGGTTTCACCAGGCATTATCCGCTTCCATCGCACCCCACCAGCACAAATGTCCCCCTCCTAGATCAATAGTAAGAGCCAATTCCATTTCCAGCGCAAAGAGCACAAAGAAACCGCTTTAACTGGCACCCGCTTTCTGAACCGTTCTATCAGCTTTATCAGTTGCTGTCACTTCTAACACTCACCACCTGTGTCCTCACCCAACTCCCTATATCATAAATTGGAGTGTTCTTGTTATTGCTGTGCCATACTGGTTTTTTATGAAGGAATTTTTATTATGCCTGACGTTTCGACAATTTCGTCGTTATCAAAGGCCTGAATGCATATCGAAACTTGCAATGTTACCATCCCGCTCACATCTAACCTACTCCTACTGAACGTTACAACTCCCCCGTGCGACTATAATAGAGCAGAATTACGAACAACGGCTAACTCACGTAATTCCACCACGACAGGCCGCTCAGCTTCAGCTTCGCGAAACAATGGAGAAGTGAGAACCGACCGGTTGTGTACTGCTTGCAAAGTGCGCACGTGCAGTACGGTGCGTTTCTAAAATCAGAGCTCACAAAGCGGAATGTATGACGAGAAATCATCAGTTATGGAAATGCACTCATTCCTGTTATTCATACTCGGATTACGGCGCTTTCTCCAGAAAGCCTCGAGGGTTTTCCTAGCACCGATATCACTTTCGTACGCCAGTATCGTGCATTCAACGTCAAAGTCACAACCAGAATGACTTTCCCTTCCATGTTTTCCAAGTGGTGCGACCAAACTTTTACTTCGTTTACTAGCCAGATGTTCTTTTATACGTACACCCAACTGTCTCCCAGTTTCTCCGATGTACAAGGCGTTACATGTTGAACACTGGAGCTAGTATACCACAGATCTTTGCGCGCAGTCTCCTACCTTTTGCGAGCAGATCATGCAGTTATCCATGACACAATTCCGGTCGTAGAGACGATTTCTGACCAATTGGTGTTCAATGGTGTCTATTGGTGTACTAACCAAGATAACATCATTGACCATATATATGTTCCATGGGTTTCAAATTTTAGACCTGTAAAATGGGATGTCCCGCCGACAAAAATTGACCAAACCGAAACTAGCTCTAACCTTATTTTCCCTGCGGGGGAATCAATCAATGATGCACCCTCTACTACTTATGACCTCTTCTGAACATTCCACCCTTAGGTTGCCGTGAAAGGTTCGCCCTGTTTCTTTTCGAATTGACCGACTGAGAAGCCATGGCAACTTTCAAATTGAAATTCTTCCTCTGAAACGCTATTGTTTTATTTCAACTGGTATATCTTTAGTGAGCACTTGTTCTGCTCTATTCGTTCATTTGTTTTGCAAGTTTGTTAAGAATATGCTCGAATTTTAGATGTTTAGGAGTAAGGTGCTTTATCCACGAAAGCGACCGCATTTCTTTGGAAAAAAATTATCTCTGAGAAGATGAGAAAATCAATCAGGCGTACACTCCAAACTTATTCATGACTTGTTCTCTAAATTCTACTAGTTTTTCAATGTCTCAGCTATAAAAAAATTTCGACCTAGATCTCAGGTAATGGTGCTCAACCGTCGAGTTCTATTTGAAAAACCAGGTCTGGAAATGGAACGACGCGACTTGTTGGGAAACCTAATAGTGCAGTGTATAGAGGATGTCATGCATAAGTAGAGGGTACAGTAGTGATTGATTTCCCCGCAGGGAAAATAAGGTTAGAGCTAGTTTCGGTTTGGTCAATTTTTGTCGGCGGGACATCCCATTTCACAGGTCTAAAATTTGAAACCCATGGAACATATATGGAAGAGGAAAACAACATCTCGTAGTGCAGGCCATTCGCTTTCAAATGGTATATGAATCGATGTAAAAGCATGAGGATTTAGATGAAAATTTTTTGGTTGAAAAAAAGCGACACTATTTATGAGACAACCTAATGATTCCTATCGCTTACGTTTGTCGGCATCACTACCGTTTTCAGGGAACCTAAGCCTGTTTTCGTTAAATTTTCCTTGTCTCTCACTTAGGAGGTATCCTATTTCAGAGGGTATCATATCAGCCCAGATGGTGCGGTGTGCTGTGAGTTCTTCTAAGAAGAGGCCACAACTGGTCACAGCCTAATAGTATTTGTGGGTCAGGTGCTTCCCTGTTTTTAGACGAAGCGATTCCGTCTTTGCGCAGATATTCGAATCTCCGAGTATGATAAGGACATGTTTGGCCTTCGGTGATAACGGCGACCTTACAGACCACACAGATTGTACGGGTCTCAAGCGCGTCCTAGATTTGCAATTCTATAACTTCACATCTCTGATGGAAATTTGTTACCAAACATGTAAATCGACAGGTCTATCGCATCCGCTAATTCATTCAAAATGAAGGATTTGTCAGCGCCTGTGATAAGGAGTACTTCTACGCCTTCCAATGTTCCAGTTCTTTTATCGCAAACTTTCACCATACCCGTGAAGTATGGGGATATGAAGGTTTGAAGCCGTATCCTCCTTTCGCCTTCCTCTTGGACCTGTAGTTCGGTAGATACTGCGTGGTTTCGCCTTTTAACGAAATTTCTCATGTCTCGTTATGTGCGTGGGCTCTACGGCATGTTCTTTATGATGCATCGAGACATTTTCATTGTGTTAGTAGAAAAGGGTGCTTCTTCTCACGCACCCTTCTCAGACACCCAATTCGTGATGTCTACCTCTATTTTCAAGCCGTGTGGAGTGCGTAGTGCTGCCTTAGGTCCATTATACACCTTACCAGAGAGGTTAGGTATTCTGACACTCTCTAAGCGCCTTCCAGAGTTGATGTGCGTTGGTTGAGGTTGCGGTAGATGGTCGAACGCCTTCTCCAGATCGGGAAAGACCAGGGAGCAAGGCCGGTGCTTTTCTCGATACTTCTCCATCACTTGTTTTGCGATGGAGATGGCATCCATTGTTCACTTTCAGGAATGAATTGCTTCTGGGACATGGGAAGCAGCTCCCGCAGCTTGGAGTCTACAAATTTTTCGTAAAGCTTCATGGTATGAGCAGTCAACTTGATACGTGGTGGCTGAAAAGTCCACTGCGTCACCCTTCTGCTTGAGGATGGAGAAGATAGCATTTGTTCTCCAGCCATCGGGCATCTTCCCTTCAGCAGTGACCCTGTTCAGGATGCTGGTGAGCCATCCTGTCCCGTACTCTCCAAGAGCCTTCCATGCCTTGACTGGCACCACTTCTGGACCATATACATTCCCAACCTTCATCATCCCTACTTCTCGACGCGACAGGGAGGTCTTCAGAGAAATGTATTCTAACAGCGCTTGTATGCTTCCTTCTTCCTCCTCACGGCTCGCTGGACTTTCTCGTTCCAACCCGCGCTGCCCTATCCCCCTGATTCCTCGCCCCCCAGAACCTCCTTGGCACATGCAGGATGTCTTCTGCCGCGTTCCCCAAGTCCGCTGTATTGGCCCATCAGGATATTGGAGACCAACTCCCATTATCCTTCGCTTGAAGTCGCTCTTCTCTGCTTGGTGCAACTTCCAGCATCGGATTCGCCTCTCGGTTCTAGCCTTTGTCTTTTTGGGAAGATCTATAGCAATGTCTGCCAGGAGGAGCCTGTACTGAGGAGCCGAGTCTTCGTCAGAGAGAACCTTGATGTCCTTTACAGTTACAACGGAGCTCTTCTCACGAGCTCATGGTCGATTTCGTTGGTCTATGTTTACTGTTGCAGGTTACCTTCTGGGTCTCCCTTTTCTGAAGAAGTGCTGCAGACTGCCAGATCTAGAACCCTTTCTCCCTCAATCCTTGTCCCCATCCCTCTACCTCTGTGCACCCTTTCCAGACCTTTCTACCACTTCCGACGTGACCACTCAGATCACCTGCTTCGGTAGGAAGTCGCCTTCTGGATCTGATGGCGTCGTAAAGGCTGAGGTAGAACTGGTCCTTACTGTCGGGGTATCCGGCTTGTGGTGCGTACACGGAGAGTATATTACAGTACATTTCCCTCGTGTCTATCCGCACAGCCATGATTCGATCGCTCTTATTCACAGCGGAAACATAGCCCTTGAGCGACTCCGCTACCGCTATGGCTACGCCGTTTCCCTTGATGTCAATTCAACTGTAGTAGAGTTGACACAACTCCTGATTGTCATGACTTTCAACATGATACGACCATAGCCTCGAGGTGGATCCTGTGCCACGTCATCCAATCGATTAATTGCAAAACTTGTACTCAAGTTGCCGCCTGCCGCAATGCCAGTCCATTCCAACCAACTACTCCAACGGACCGCCCATCTGCTCGGAAATAAATACATTTCTGGGGGTATAAGTACCGCGGCAAAAGTGAGACTCCGGGCCAGTCTTCGCCTCGAGCGGTCTCCGGGGCCACTTTCTTCTATAAGCGACTGGTCGCCGGTGGACCCGTCACTAGCCAATGTACACCAGTTAATATCCACTAGTCAATATCTACAAATAGCCACCAGTCAATATTCAATAGGCCACCAACACATGGCAAGGTCAAAGGCAAGCCTAACCAAACGGATAACCTAAAGTAGGAAAAAGTTCATTAAGTTGCATTACATCAAAAGTCATTTGTTTGACGTCAACAAGCTTTGTATAATAAATACCTTATTATAATCGGTGTCATACCATAAGACATTATACCACCCGGCCGTCGAAACACCGATTTCCCCAGCCTTAGCTCTATTCCACGTGTCTCCTGGAGGCATAGGAATTGGATTCTTGCGCATCATATGATCAACTACTTCTAGGGACTTCCCATTTAGCGATCCTATATTCAGAGTCCCAACTCGATCAAGCTTCGAACAAACCGTTCACTTCGGTAGCCCTCGCATACACTCGAGCGGGGATCCTGAGCGCCACGTGCTTGTGACGTCCTAGCTTTATCACCGATTCCTTTTTTTATTTAGACATATTTGGCGCCAAGGGGTCTTCACCAGCCGGCCTGTCAACCTTGGCCTGAAGCTGGTACAAGAACCGTTTTGGCACATGTGCAGGACATTCTAAGCCTCACCAGGAATCGAACTAGCGATTTCCAGAGGTGCAGACGTGAGTCTACACGAATAACCATTCGACCACCCCTGCCTTTTTCCCTCGAGGCTTCATTATGAATAATTGAATTTTCGCAGTTTCGAAAGCTTTGCACTACCAATGCCCACTTGCAAAGTGCTCGTAAGTTTTCGAATTCGTGTATTGTCTACTAGGGATAGGAATTAGAGTTGCAGGTAGTTCAACTTTTGCGCTTTGCATCCCTGCCACTCCTTCGTTTTGCGTTCGCACGAGCTGATCTAATCCCTCTAACTTTGCCTGTGCTCTAGCACTTAAGGAGTATGCTCTCTGAGAACGTTATGAGCCTTTCCTACATATTCATTGACCTGGGTTCCATGTTAAGGTGTAGCGAATTTGTAATGTGATCTGTTATCCTGCAAATTCTTCCAGCGCAACGTATACTAATTTTATATTAGCAGCAATTTCATGAGACATTTCTGCTAGCAATCTTGGAGAACTTTCTCCCTCAATTTCATCGCAAAACTTTGAAATAATCTAATTTAGCATGTTAGGATATTCTGAAGAGTCCTTTTTGTAGTTTTAACTGAACGGGCCCATCCACTTTTTGCAATCAATGGAAGAGAAACGAGTTTCGCACCAAAATGTAGTGAAAAAAAATCGGGCACGCAAACAACGTACCTGTCATCCGGATTTTTCCTGATGGATCGGATGCACCATAAAAGCGGGGAGCCCTACTTCTGCCACCCTGCGACCTGTACCACGCGAGCTTCATCACTGACTTGAGAAATTGGATTTGAACGTTTATGTTGGCAAAAAAACGGTATATACAACGAGTTCAGACAACTGCCGAAGTAAGCTATTAGAGGGAGAAATAAAATGAGTCTATCCAGGAAGCTGCATCATTCAGATATGAAGAAGGAAAATCATTTTTCTTCGCTATGGAAGGAAGAAAAAAGCCTTTTTTCGAGCCTTCACCTCAAGAAAAACAGCTAGAGAACTCAAGCAAACTGATAAACAAATCAGAAGACGCAAGCCTCTTGAAAGAGCAAAGGAAGCAAGAAAAAAAATCGTCTTTCACACTCTCCTCAGCTTTTTATACGATTCTTGTCCGATACAAGAACATTTTCTAAGGGAGCAAAAACATTCGTATCGCTGAAGCTGTGGGAAATCGCAGCTATTTCAACATAACTTTTTTCCAAGATATTCGAGAATCGCAGAATTCCGAAGGCCGGTTGCGAAACGACTTACCATTTCCTCGACGATACTGCCCTCGCATTCTGATTTGTATGCAAGATAATGCGGATAACCAATAAAGCGCATTCGAAATGAGCACATACGAGGCAAAACTAAAGTTCGATCTATCGCTAACACCCTTGCTGCCTCACGCCTCCGCTCGTACGGTCATGTCCAGCGAAAACACCCTGACGCTGTGTCCAAGTCGGCAGACAACATAATGTTAGTCGGTACACGTCCAAGAGTTCGACCCAGAAAGTGATGGCTAGATAACCTGAAGTACGAAATGAATGCTGTGGATCTGTCTTACAGCCGATGCATGGAACCGGGACTGCTGGAAAACATTGATGGAAAAAGCGTACCCGACAAGAGTTGGACAACAGTGCTAAGAAGAAGGAGATAATTCGGCTAACCATGCCCGTCCTTCCACGTCAGATTGGGCAACGAAAGCTATAACAGTTTCCAAGTGATCTACATGTTCTCTGAATCTCCGATGAATAATTTGGGCATTCAATGCGTAGGAGGCCCACGACCGAAGCCAAACAAAATGTAACAACTGAGGTGCTCATGCAGTACATCATTGGCAATTGTACAAATTTGGATTCTAATGTAAGAGCCTATTTGGTTGCATGCATTCCAAGACGTATTAATGAGGTCTTGTGATTGATGGAAAATCATCCCAGTACAGAAAAGTCGAATGTTTTTTTTTCTGTTCTAAAGAAAGTTCTCCACATAAGATGTGTAGCCATATATGCAAAACGGTGAAAATAGGCCAAAAAAGATATTCGAGTCACTCAAGCTCGAAATTTCTCAAAAATCGTTACCAAGGCTTTCCGTCGAAAGCTAGTCATTGGTGACCACAGCATTTTTCGAAAATGTAGAGCAAGCTTAGAACAGCAAGAAATTGCGGTGTACCTATGTTTATAAAACGCAGTCTACACTTATATCGTGGGTATAGTTGGGACTTACGATGGGCTGAAAAATCGAGTGAATTGTCTGGCATCATTCTGAAGGCACCCGTTTAGTGTAATTTTCACAGATGCAACTAACCGGTGATGATGATACAAAATGTTACAGTGCACATCTTGGTAGAAAAAGGCGCAAATAAATGACTCGGTTTTGCCTAGTCACAAAGCTGTAACATGCATAGAATTCACTGTACTACAAGAGCATTCTAACATGTTCATCATATCTGTATTTCTACATCAACAACTCTTTCAACACCTACAAAACACATCAAGCTAATAAACTTTCAGGGATATGCTATGGACAGCGTCAATTCTCATGGTGATTTTAAGCATCAAAGCTTCATATTTAGGTAAGCTTAAAGATTTAATGAAGAACCAGGTTTCCTTCCGGAGCAAGCCTCTAGCTCTCGTCTTGCACTGCACGTATTGAGCTAAGTTTAGTTCGTTGTCCCTAATTGGCAATGCTCAGCGTCTCAGTTTCTATTCTAAGATGATCTCTATTCTAAGATGATTTAATGATGGTTTTATCCTCCTTAGCATCTTTTTATGACTTTTCTTGTCTTTTTGTGGAGTTTAATCTTTATACCAGATTAGTCCCCCGTCAACTGCCGGGACCTTCCTTCACTGCTTAAACTTTACGTCTTTCGCTGTGGCCGCTTCCATCAACAGCTCGCGTAGGTGACGCTAATGCTACAGAAAAGAAGTATCGTATAGCGGAGTTTATCGCAAGTTTAAAATCATAAGTGACGGTAGATTTCGCCTCCCATCCCTACCCTCCCTTCCTCCCCTCTCTACACTGCCCTCCACCTGCCACTGTAGCACCATGCGGAATGACCGGAAGTGTTCATTAGGTGTTTATGTAGCCCGAGGAGTGTTATCACAATTATCATATTGCAAAACAATGATAGCTGAAGCCCTGCGAGCTACCCAGATCTGTTATCGGTTTGTTTATTCCGTTCGCTGCCTTATCACTCACTCACTTCATTTTGCGGACGGACATATCATAACTATACCTACATACTTACATATCAATACATACCATACATACGATACATGACAGTTCTACATACATACATACGGTGTGGTTATAGCAGTGTGTGTTAGTACATACCTTATGTGCATACATAGCATACCGGTACCGATACATTGACATGAGCAGCTATTCATGACAGTATATGATCATGAGTCAGTACATACGATAGCATACCACCCGGTGACAGTAGTCTGGGGACAGTACATGACAGTAGCATAATCAGGGTGAGCATGACGATATGCATATCATACAGGGGTACAGGTAGCATGGGGGTGTACGAGGTACATTACAACAGATCATACATACATACATACATACCATCATACATACCATACATACACGCTTCACAATACAGACATACAAACCGACACACAAAGTTAGCGCTTTATAAAATAGAAGGATATTCGATAGCTCGAAACTTGCTCGATCTTAAGTGCCTCTACTCTAGAGAAAATCAGCTGTTGCACGTAGAAGGAGCAAGGGTCAGGTCGAAATTGCTACTGGCGCTTCTCTAGCCTTTATGCTTTCCCAACCTAACAATTCAGTTTCCTTTTTGAAGTCATGCGCATATGACAGATGGTAAAGAAAGAGACAGATCCACTCTGAACAGTAGCGAACACACCGCCTTTCTCTCTCGTATGGTTTTCGTACGGTAGCTATTATTTACTTTGTACAATTGGCCTGACGTTGACACACCGTGGAATTGGCGATGTACAGCGTAACCTCTTATCCTACTGGTTTCATGCTCAACTGGTTCAGGACGCTCTCACTAACAGTATGAAGTGCGAGTCTGCGCGTTAGATACGATGTGGTCCTCCTTACCGACATCAGTTTGCGAACTATTCAGGATCGATCCCTCGAACCTTGCCAATGTTCGACGCTCTTTGTCTGTCACGAATGTATAGCGCCTCATAATTACCATGTTTCACAACTTTCAATTTTTACAATGCAATAAGTATAAGGCCATTTCATTCTTTTATCGTCTGCGCATAATTAAGCGATCAAGAAAATGATGGAAAGCTGAAAGCTTTCGAATTACCACAGGCTTCAATTTTCAGGTTTGAACTATTACTATTACTACCGAACATTAGTTTTCGACTCCACATGGTGCGAGTCTGTGGTTGGACCCTAGAAGATTCTGATGAACTTTTTTGAATTAGCTGCGCTTTATAATTTGTGATCTCACCCATCAGCTACAAAGTCAATAACGTGGCCTCAAAAAATCAGCTCGAAAAAGCCTCGCAGACTATGACTCGTGAATCCTCGACATGGAAACGAAAGCTACTGGTTATTCGCGTTCGACAGATTATTAGAGAAATACATAGTTAGGTAGCTGGAGGTATGGGAAGTAAGCGTGCTCGGAGCAGTGGAGGAAAAGGCGGATAGGATGACAATCACCCGACCGGGAAGAGTTGCTATTGTCTATTAAATCAACAGTCCCAGCAATATTTTCACCTTCGACACTAATGATGTGGAACGATGCGATGGCCGAGGGGATTGTAGCCGATTTCCAACCACACCCACTTCGAAGCCGTTCAGCTCCCTTTCTAGCAGCGTTCCAATGTGAGTTTTTTATTTAAAAACACTTATTACGTTCATGACTAGGGCCAGCGCATCGTTCCACATCATTAGTGTCGAAGGTAAAACCCTGCCGGGACTGTTGCTTTTGAAGGCAAAGTTTAGCCTCAGACCCACTCAAGAAGCCATTACCATGGCTAGAAGTGCTGGGCACTCAAGTGCAAACTTAGCGCCACCTTTCTACATCGAAACCTGTCGCCAGGATTCTAGGCGCCGTGAACTTGTAACAGACTCCAAAACATAACATGGTCCGCCCACCGATCGATGTCTTGTCTGCCTCGCTGCGTTGATCTGCTATATCCTCTCTTCTCGGAATTCTCTACCACTCTCAGCTCGCATTACCTCTCATCTCCCTGACCACCTTTTGAACTTCTCCACAGCGTGGAGCAAAAAACTCGTATTTCCAGTGTATTTCAGGAATTTCTTTCCTTTTTTCTCCATTGGCGGTCCACCTCCTATCCCTACCTTTCCATTTGAGTGGACAACCC